TAAAAAAACCGTTCTCAAACAAAACCTACATCAAGAGACCATTTATTTCAGCAAATTTCGTAATAAGTATCAATCAAAAGCTGTGTAAACTCTCAATACCATGATAGCGTTTATTTGATATGGAAAGATGTGTTCAAATGTTTTAGTTCTTCGTCTCTATTGGATTGGATAAGATTAAGCACTAGCTGATAGAGCAATAGCTACAGCTATTTAACATGACAGTGAGCTTCCATTCATTATTAAATAACTGTAACCAGATCCACAAAATTAGGATGAATGATGATTAGTACGGAGGAATTAATAAGTCCACCTACTGAAACTCTCTCTGGATTAAATCATAAGCTTAAGTGCACGGACGACATAATAATGGTTTCGTTTGTAATAACTCTTTTACTGTTTTTTTTTTTCGGATTATAATCATTCTTATTTAATCACCGCTTTAAAACAAGTTTAATTCTAGAAAGTTGTTTTTGTAGCAGTTTTAAAAAAATTATTTTTTTCAAATCCTTCCAAACAAATCCAAAGTCTCGGTTTTAGAGAAAAAATTAAGGTTGGGAGCTGCTGATATGAAAAAATTATTTTGTGAGGACGTCAAATGTTGTCCGGAGACTAACCAGAATGTACAAAGTCGCCCCTTGCTCGGTACCTGGCTTGGTATTGTTAGGTACCACGGCTTGGTACCGTTCGATATTGCAGACGTGACGCATTCTAATTGATCTCCAGATGATGAACTGTGTTCGGCGTCCGCACAGCATAATTTCTCGTTGATGTGCCGTTGCTTGCAGCTTTGCTATCAATGGCACATTTGCCATGGCTCGCCGAGTTTGTAGATATGAAGGAGAAAGAGGTTGCCTTTCTATTTCCATCTTAGATTTCATTTGGTTCATCCATAAGGGTTGTTCTTTACATCACTACCATTATGACTCTCTGTTTATCAATATGAACCCTGTTTTTAAGTGATTGTATTATCATTTTGTGATTTTTTTAATGTCACCTCACAATATATTTAATGATGCTTCATATATTTTCTTAAGGGATTATATGGAATATTGTGTAGACATATGCATGTGTTTAAATATTTCTTTGACAAGTTAATCCATTTTTTAGTGTTGTAGATATTAATGTACAATCCTTTAATCATAAAATAAGAATTTTTCATAGCTTTGAAAAGCTTTTTTAAACTAAAACTAAAATGGTTTTGTTTGGAATAATTTTATTATTATTTTGTATGTTAGCTTTCTATCATAAAAATAAAAAAAAAAATATATTAGTAAAAATTTATTACAAACAAAGGCTAAGGATCAGACTTAACTATGTTCAAAAAACTATTAGAAACTTCAACTTTTTTGTTGTTATATGCAATGGTGCATAGCCGATTAATTTTTAAATTAACAAAAAAAAAAACTTCTTTTTTTCTGATTTAGAGATCATCCTTTAACATTCACATTCCTATGAATTATTAACCTTTGACAGCAACACTACTCACCTTGGCTTGTTGGTTGAAGAGATTATTAGATGCGGAGTGCGGACGGAGAGAACCGTCCGCATAAGTATTAGGTACCTAATGGTATCCGCACTCGGTACCGTTGGGTATCGGTGGGTAACGCTGGGTACCGCTAGGTACCTAGTGCTTGTGCGGACGGTGCGCACTCTGCATCTAATAATTTTTCTTGTTAGTTGAGAGTTTAGGCTATCAACTAATAGGTCTTGGGTTCGAGTCTTCGTGTATGCGTTGTGTGTGTGAATTTGCCTTAAACGGTCAAAAAAAAAAACTTTGACAGCACCGTTACGGGCAATTATCCATTCATTCATTGCTAGGTACAACAAACAATGAAACAATTCGGTTGGAGGTCATTCAGATGTGACATGTCATTAGATATATGCTAAAATAAAATATAAATATACTAAACTAAAGAAAAACATATATAAAAAGGTTATTAAAAATAAATTATTAATGGTTAATCAAACTATGAATTCTATGATTATCGGAAATAAAAAATGTTGTGATTAAAGATAAAAGAAAATTTTAGAGGATAGAATAATTAGTCCAAGTAAAAAATTATAACTATTGTTATGTCCTGGAGTATTCGCGGCGGTAGATAAATATATAGTTTAATGTCTTAGCATTATACGAAGATTCAGCACACAAGCATATAAGAGAGAGTGTGTAGCGTTCATAAGAGACACCAGAATTTTTACGTGGAAACCCTTGAAAAGGGGGAAAAACCACAAGGCTTGGCCCAGTTTGAATGAATCCACTAGTATTTGCAGTCGATTACAAATGAGGCCCTTCTTAGGGAGAAGGCCTTGGCTTGATGTTACACATGTTAGTCATATAGAGCGCACATGGTGGGAGTTACAATAATCAATATAGACATGTTTATTTGGTTGGAAGGGCCATTGTAGGTGATGGAGGTTGGAAGAACCGTAGTCGGCAGGAGATAGAGGTCCGAAAGACCGTAGTTGGTAGGAGACCGGGGCCAGAAAGATTGTTGTCTAGTGATGGAGGTCGGAAGGATCATAATAGTCGACGGAGGTCGGAATGACCGTAGTCGGCTGGAGATCGGGGTCAGAAAAACTGTTGTCTATTGATGGAGGTCGGAAGGACCATAATATATAGGAGACCGAGGTCAGAAAGACCATTATAATAGGGCGGTACTCTGGTAGAACTTTGGACATCATGAGGTGTCCTCATAGAAGTTCAGGCCTCATGTGATGGTCCAACAGAAGTCTGGGTCTCAGGTGGTTGTCCGGCAAAAGTTCGGGCGTCAGCTGGTGGTCTGGCAAAAGTCTGGGCCTTAGGTGGTGGTCTGGTGGAGCACAGGGCCTCAAGTGGGTTTGTATTTCTGAGACATTCAGTTTGACTGTAAGTTTGCTGAAAACAGAGTTCAGATGGTCCCAATTTTAATTTCGGGAGTTTCCAACTTGATTTTGCATTGAGATTCGTGCCCGATCACGATAATTTTTTGAGAAGGTATCAACTATGACTTTTATAATTATCATAATTAAACAAATAGTTAAAATTTTAACTTTAAATTTGTGTTTATAATTAAAAAATTATATTTATTCTTTATTATTTAGATTTAAATTGCTATAGATGAAAGTAAGCAATTAAATCAACGACTTGAAGAAATCAACAATAGTAAAGAGCAATTTTTTTATTGGGAAATCAAGAATTTAAAGAACAAGTATATCAAATTAAAAAAAAAAAGAACATGTAGCAATTGAACTTTTTTTATTTTTTATTTTTCATGTAGCAATTAAACTTGATGGTAACTATAAAAGCAGTTAGCGATGCAGACAAGTAGAGCCGAGCTCGAGTCACCCTTGACTTAAAACTTGAGTTTGATTAATTAATTGAATTTGAGCACGAGGTTGTGCTTTATTCTATGAGTTCAAGTTGGTTCATGAGCTGGCTCATTTATTATGAAAGAGAAAAAATAATTATGATTTAATTAATTATTATAATAAAATGGTAAATGAATGAGAAAGTATAAGAAAAATAATTAATAATCACTTAATATAAGAACATGATATAATTTCTAAACATTTTTAACAACTTTATACTTAAAATTCTAAATTCTAATATATTTTAAATATATTTAATATTAATATTTTTTAAATGAGCAGGCTTACAAGCTAACCAGTCGAGTCAGCACTGTCTCAAATTTGGCTTGTTAGCTCATCGAGTTCAACTCACGAGTCATTTATCAAATTGAGTTCAAATAAACTCACAAGTCGGTTCGACTCATGAGTCAGCTTGACTCAATCACTTACACACCTAAAAACAATAAAGTTGAACTAAACGTATGATTAAATTCTTCCAATTAAATATAACAAAATATTAGAAAAAATAAATAATCAAATTTAATATTACCCCAATCAACAAAGCGAAACATAATGAAAGTGACATACATCATATTTATGGAATTGAAGTATATCTTAGTTGTTTAATCCTTTAATTTTTTTAATCTTTAGAATATGACATATTTTTTGACTTAAAAATAGGTGTGCTTGGTGAACTTAAATATTTATAAATTCTACAATAATGTTGAAGAATTTAACTTATAAAATAAATATGAAATAATTTTAGAAAAAATAAATAATGGAACAAGAACTAAAAATACTTCAATATATATTAATCAAGAATACAATTTGACATTTACTGAAGTATTTCGTTTAAGAACTTGCCAAGCAAAAGAGTTTCCTTATGGTGCTAAATGTGCGCATAGTAGAAATTTAGATTTTAAAAAGGAAGAATTCCACATGAATGCTTTTAGTCAAAACTACAGCTATGAATGCCTTGTCTAATTTCGTCGTTTTCGTTCCTCTCAAGCTTTTATTTTGTACTTCTATTTTTAATGTAAACAAAAATCTGTCTGGTATTTGTTTTTGTTTTTAGAGAATTAGAAAACAGATTGGACGTTTCATGAAGAAAAAATTACATTTACTACAAGATCTCGCAGCAAACAGCACTAATTACAGTGGTCAAAAAGTTGGGTGTCAATATTTGACAAGATCCAAAAAATTTGACACGAATTCGATCCAAAAATTTTGAGTTAGGATCGATCTGGACCCAAAATGAGTCCGGTTCGGGTTCAACAAATCAAACCATTTCAAAATCCGGGCCGGGTTCAGATTGACATAAATATTCAAAATTTACTCGTTTTTTACCTGAAATCAAGATTGACCCATTTTTTGACCCGAAAATTAGTAATTTTTGGTTGGCCCCTGGTCATTTGGGTCGCGTCGGGTTGACCCGAACTAGAAGCAAATCGGGTATGGGTTAGAAAAATCGACCTGTTTGCAAAAGCAGCCCAAGCAGCCCGGGTTCGGTTTGACTCGAACAGTGGGAGGTCAATTCCGGATTCGATCCAAACCAGACTCATGACACGGAATTGACACCCCGATAGTCATAAAAAGAAATACAGATGAAGCTTCAAGCATAGTTGAAAATCGTTGGAGGAAATAATTTGATATAAATTTATGGCTTGACTATGAATCTGCAATCACACAAACAGACGTTTTGATTACGTAATGGTTTCTAAAATATCAAATCTCCTTTATTTCATTTGCCTCACACAGTTTTATAAAAACCAAACAACAAATCGAGATTAATGATCACTGATCCATTATTCGATCCATCACCACAGCAACATACAAAAAGACGATAAATTTCAACCGCAAACACCAATTTGAGATCTTTATTAACTGCAAATTCACACCAATTACGAAGGCTGGATCTTGGAGCTGGCAAAGGTGGACTTCATGGTAGCCATGGCCGCGGCGATCGCCGCCTCCATGTAGTTCTCCGAGGCGCCGGCAGCGCTGTCGACCTTGGCGGAGTAGCTGGGGAAGTCTTCGGTGGCGGCATCGAGGATGGAATTGAGTTCGTTTTCGGCCTCTTTCATGGCGGCTTCGGCTTTGCCGGCGGATTTCAGGTGCTCGGCCTCGGCGGCGGCCAAGGAGGCACGTGCCTCGAGCTCGAAGAGCTGGAGAAGCTCTTCGATGCGCGATGGGTTGAAGTCTTTGTTGTCGAGGGCGTCGTTGGCGAGGACGGAGAGTTGGGAGAAGAGAGCTTCCATCGCAGCTGGTTCAACTTTACCTTCTTCTCGGCTGATGATTTAGGCCTATGAGTCTATGAACTTTTATCCAAAGCGGGCACCTAATGAGGGTTTTATGCATGAATAACCCTAGAGTTTTGAGATTTATACTATACCACTCATTTTTTTCATTATTATTGTTTATCATGTTATTCTTTAAATTTGTATAGAACTATAGATCATTGATATGTGAATCTAATTAAATGTTGATATGATATAATATTTATTAAGTTTCAAAAATGATTCATTTATGTAAAACTATAGAAATTTGTTGTATTTTGAGACTTCCCAAGTATAAAAACTCCTTTAGCTAAGAAGGTTTTGAATGTGCAAGATTTTTAGGGATTCTAATCTTTATTGAAAATTGTATTGTAATGTTTCCTATTGTTATTAATAATGGATGGATCATAGTGCATCCTCTTCTAATTATAATGTTAAGTGGATTAGCTTATAATTGGGTTGGTTTAATAGTCATGTTTCAGTTAAGGGTCAGATTAAGCAACCAATTGAGAAAAATTTGGACTCAAAGCATGAAAATAAAACAACATGCATTAATTATCCAAATTCATAACAATAGCATTCAGTATGATCATGAATCAATGCAAAACTGTAATTTGAAAATCATAAAGCATAGAAAAAATGTACATATACTAAAATAGTAAAGCTGGAAATAATCAAATCATTCATAAACCAAAATTACTTTATATATTATCAAATTAGTAAAAGAATCGTATTAAAAAGTGAAACAACATATCTTATAAAATATACCCATACAGTTGAACTTCATCAGTAGTATCATGTCTGTGGTGTGAATCACATGAATATCTTAATCTTAAATAATATAAATCTTAAAATCAATATCATATCAATAATAGTGCACGGGTGCAAGTATAAAAACAATCATACTAAAACAAGTGGTTCTGACTTTTCTAGTGTTTTTTTAGTAATCGTACATATAACATATTCATTTTAATATATTAATCTAAATTTAATATTCATGTGGCTTTTTTAAAGAGTTGCCTCTTTCGCGTCAGCATCTTAACTTCTTATAACTCTCAATCTTAATCTTTATCTTGGTCGAGGATATCCCCACAAAACTTAGTTTAAGGAAATCCCTTCGGTCCACCCTCCAATACAAGGTAGAATCAATCTACGACCAACCTATCTTAATAAACAACTTGTCTTATTTACACATAATATAGGAACATATAAAATTAATAACAATTAGCAAGTATATATTCACAATGCTAGTTTCATCAGCATGCCGTCAAAACCACTATATATTTTATTCCTACTCAAATCATATACAACAACAACAACAAAAACATCAAACCTTTGTCCCACTATCTGGGGTCGCCTACATGAATTCTTTTTCGCCATTGTGTTATGTTAAAAGTCAAATTCTCATTTAAATCTAATAAAGAAAGATCATTTCTAATATTTTCTAGGTCTACCTCTACCTGTCTTAACATAAGTCAAATCTAATACCTCAACTTTCTTAATCGGGTCATCGGAAGGCCTCCGTTTAATGTGACCAAACCATCTAAGGCGACTCTCTCTAATCTTATCTTCCACTGGAGCTACTCCAACATTTTTACTTATATGCTCATTTCGTATCCTATCTCTAATGGTAAAGCCACTCATCCACCTAAGCATCCTCATCTATGCAACACTTAACTTATTATTATGCTTCTCTTTTAATGGCCAACATTCAGCACCATAAAGCATTGCAGGTCTCATCACCATCTTATAGAACTGAAATAATGTTTCAACCGGTAAAAATATAAAACCATCTGATCAAAATGATCAAATACAATACTATAATATACAAAAACTTATGTAGGAGTTCACTAAATCAGAATAAAATACAATAAATATTGATTTAGACAAAAGAATAAATTTCGAAATCAAAATAATTAAAAACATAAGTATGATAGAAGTCAACTACAATAATCAGAATATTTTTTATAATAGGAGTGACAGATGAAAAAAAAAAACAATGGAAGCATTCTTTCTCTTTCCTATTTCCTCTCGTTCTCCCATTCTCCTCTCCACCTTCCCTTCCTAAGTCTACAAAATGAGATTGCTAAAAAATTCAAAGTCTACAAAAAATGAGATAGCTCAAAAAAAAAAAAAAGTCACTAACCACAATTAGAGCATGTTATTCCAACACATTATGCTACTTATATCATAAATAGATTTCCTTATAAAGTTCTCTACTTCAAAACGGGAAATTATTACGTCCGGTGTTCGGATTCGTCAGGACGCCAATCCAGATGCGCCATGTCAGCCAGATACACTCGGGCCCAGTGTATCCTGGTGACGTGGCGCCTCTGGATTGGTGTCCGGACAGTCTGGTCACTGGACGTAATAATTCGCCCCTCAAAACACCTATGAAAGTACACTCTCAATTTTATCCCAAATTGAAAACCTAAACCAAATCTTTGCATGTATCTCCCTTAAGCATGTTCTTAATAACAATAGAGGTAAATTTGACCCATTGGGAATCAAGTGCATGTGGGTTACTCATCAACCAAAAAAAAAATACAAATACTACAATTCACCTACCAAAAGTTTATCCATTTCTATTAATGAAACTTTTGCAGAGGGCAGAACTTTCTTTGCTCAAACTTATCTTCGAAAGAGCTATATTAAAGAAAATGAGGATAAAGAAAACTTCTTAATAAAACTATCTTCCTGAACCAAACATTGTCTGCAAATCTCTTCCTGGAGAAGAAATTAAGCTGATTCTTCACACTCATCATAAATTAAAAAAATCTCAAATCATGATATTGGGAGATATAAACAAGCGAATTCAAGAAGAATTATTCCAATTCCATATTCAATGCCCGCCAGAGAATCTTCGATCTTCTCCAAATCATGAATATGAGTAGGGGTGTTAATTTCGGGTCACGGGTCGGGTTCGGGTCGAACCCGGAACTAACCCGGGTTCAAACGGGTCGACCCTAACCCGACCCGGGAAGGCAAACGGGTCGGAAATCCGAACCCGGACCCGATCCGGCGGGTTGCCGGGTTGACCCGACCCGATCCAGTTTGAGTTGCCGGCTCCGGAACGACGGTGG